CAAAAACACAGGTAAGAATTTGCTTGTATAGAAATAAATGAAATGAAAAATAATATTTACAAAGTCGTTCTATCGTTCTATAGCCTTTGTTTAGCTAAGTGTCAATAAAGAGCTGTTTTGATCACACAAATAACTTTATTGATGTATGTGCGATAGATAGTTTTTTTACTTAAAAAATTAATGAAATTATTTTTGGGAAAACATTCTTCTTAAAAGCTGACAGACAGAATGATGAAAATTCAGACGCATTTATCTTTCAGACAGCGGAGTTCAATAATACATTTTCGATGGACTCTACAACTGCGGCTATTTCATTAGTGAAATGTTTATCGTATGAACGGAACACTTACTATCATTTTGTGATAACTGCAAAGGTATATTATGATAGATTATAATAATTATAACACAAGTTCTTAAAAATTGGCTGTCTGGCGGCTTGAAGTTGGCGCGAACTTCGTGACATTGCGAATTTGCAGCATAGCGCCGTAAAGTTGGCGGCATGGTGGCATAAAACTATAAAACTTCTTTCAAAGTAAACTTTTTTTGCTAACGTTTCATTTAAATGGCAAGAAAAGTATTTATAACTGCATTAAGAGCCGTTTTGTCTTCATTTTCATGAAACTGCTTTAGAAGTTTTGGCCACCAGGCCGCCGTCTTCACCAAAGCATAGAATCAAATAGTTTCAAAGTGATTTTTTGTCTGCTTATGTATCATTAAAATGTCTAAAACGGTTGAATAGGACTTTGCTTTTTTTCAAATTTGAAATATAATAAGTGAACATAAATTTGAGGTGAAGTTCGCACCGATAGGCGGCCAGGCCGTCATATCGCTAGCTTTATGGCGCTAGTTCGTAACTCCGGCAAGGTTTAAAATTTCCTAGACCGTAAAGCTGTTAACTTCACGTCGCTAACAACACATGCTATGAAATGGAAAACAAATGATAAAGATTTTTTAAAATCTTTTTAAAATTGTGTTATATTATCTTTTAAAAAGATACAGGTATAATTGGAATGCTTCAAAATGCTTTGACGACGTTTAAATATTTTCTTATTAATGTTTTCTGATAGGCTTTTGTTCACAGAAGGTAATCAGAATTTTATCTCATTCGGAAAATGCTGTATTAAAATAGAACATTTCGAAACAGGATTGATTTATTTACAATTTTATTTGTGTAGTAAGTCAAATCACCGCCACGAAACACGAGGACTATTTTGTAGTGGTGTCAGATTTCAATTCTACTTGAAAAGCATTCTAAAATATATACCTTGTATGCATACAAGTCATTGTAAAACATTAGGCATTGTAATTTATGATAAAATTTCCAAGACTATTTTACTTACATTCGTTTAGATTTGGTCGAAATGAGATACATGCCTAAGATCAATGCATGTACGTTATGATTTCTTGCAAATCCATAGTTATACACTTTTTGTGTCGCCTTGAAAAAGGCGACATATAGGGGTTACTTTTGTCGGCGGCGTCGTTGTCGTTGTCGGCGTCGTTGTCGGCGTCGTTGTCGGCGTCGTTGTCGGTTTCGTCGTCGGCGTCGTTGTCGGTGTCGGCGTCCCCTAAAGCTTGTCCGGAGCATAAGTCAGTCATTATAAGTCTAATTGACTTCAAACTTGGTATGCATGCTTCTCATAATGACCTGAAGTGCAGTGCACAAGAACCGGTACTCTGTGCTTCTTATTTTTTGAGTTATTGCCCTTTGTTTATTTTCATACTTTTTTTGTCCGGGCCATTTCTCCTTAACTATAAAATCTATGGACTTGAAACTTCATAGGATGATAGATCTCATTAAGAAGAAGTGCAGTGCACAAGAACTGGTACTCTGCATTTCTCATTTTTTTAGTTATTGCCCTTTGTTAATTTTCATACTTTATTTTTATCCAGGCCATTTCTCCTAAAGTATAAAAGCTATGGACTTGAGACTTTATAGGATGATAGATCTCATTAAGAAGAAGTGCAGTGCTCAAGAACTGGTACTCTGCATTTCTTACTTTTCGAGTTATTGCCCATTGTTAATTTTCATACTCTATTTTTGTCCAGGCCATTTCTCATAAATTAAAAACAGCCCTTTAAAACTTGAAACTTTAATTTGGATGAAAAAATTTTTAAATTTATTAAAAATGGGGTTTCCCCAGAAAAATGCGAAACTGCATTTCCCTTTTTTTTTGAAAATTATTGCCCCCTTTGGGAAATTTTCAATTCTTTTTTTTTTGTCCAGGGCCCCTTTTTCAAAAAAATTAAAAAAAGCTTTTTGACTTGAAAATTAAAAAAAGAAAAGATAGATTTTATTGATAAGAAATGCCCCTGCAGAAAAAAATGGGGTGAAACTTGGGGATTGTTTTAAATTTTATTTAAAATTTTTTTTAAAATTGGGGATAAAAAGCAAACCTAAAACATGAATTTGGTTAAAAACAAAAAACTTCGGGGCCCCGTTTAGTTAGAAACCTCTCATTTTAGACCCAAAATTTTAACATCTTTAAAACAGATTCTGAGGTAAATTTTTGTTTGGTTCGAAAAAAATTTAGTTCCCGGGCCCTAAACTGCAAGGGTTTTGGGTCGGGAAAAAAATTCGTTTCCGGAAAGGGGGCACCCCAAATGGGCGGGAAGAGGCCCTTTTCCTTTTGGGATTCTCACTTAAATTTTTAAAGATCATCCTTTTTTTTTCGAAAAATTCGAAATTTTGCTAAAAACCCCCTGAATTAAATAAATTTTGGTTTCGCCCCCGTGGGTTTTATTCAAAAAAATTTTTAAAATCTTACAAGGGCCCCTTGATTGAAATATTTTTAGCACTGGAGTTTTAAAAATGGGTTTTTTTAAAAAATTTTGTAAAATCCAAGTTTTAAGAAATTTGTAAAAAAATATATCCCAGTTTTTAGAAACATTTTTTTGAAATTTTAAGAAATTTTTTTAAAAGTACCCAGCCAAGCATTTAAATTTTTTAAGGTTTTTTCTTTTTTCAAATTTTTTTATTTAATTTTGGGTGGTGGACAAACGGCGGGTAAAAAAGCAAAAACCCATTTGATTATACACGTTAAAGACGTGGGGAGGGAAAAAACCCAAACCCTTTTTTTTTACTGGTAAAATATTTGAAAAAACCCATCAAAGGAAAAATTGCAAAATGATGTAAATTCTTTAACAATGTCTAATTTATAACGATTTTAATTTAAGACTATGTCTTGCTGTTCTAAATAGTTAAGCTGACATAAATAGTGTAAAGAAATCATACATGCAAATACATTTTTTATATATCAAGAAAGCCCATTCAGTTCTATTCGTATAATGACATACAATATGTATTTACGTTGAAATTTGTATGACGGCTCTAGTTGATATAGTTTTCAAATCTATTATTAATTTCTTAGTATTATTAATATTGCAGCATGTTTAAAACTGAGTTCATAATAACAGCCCTACTAATAAGAAATGGCATTGAAAACTGTTATTTCACCGTTCAGGATATAATGTGTAATCCTTCCACTGTACTTTCATGGCAAGGTACAAGAACAATGATCAGTATTCATAAGTGTGTTTGTTGAAAATAATATCAAATTAAAGAATAAGCGAGTGAAATAAAAACAAAACTTAGGCGATAATGTGATAAAATATCCTAATATTAAGTACTGTAAATATTTGACAATATTAAAGGAAAGTTTTAATATTTAAGGGAACTGGTGTAATTCAAGTCACCGCTGTTGATGGTGATTCAGGGATCCCAAACGAGATATCTTATTCTGTTCTATGTAAGTCATCAGCTTCTATAATTTTTATAAATTAAGTTTTCCTAGTTTATTTTAGTTATAAACATGGATAACTTTGATGGTTTTATTTATCATGTATTATCTTGTTCACGGACAAAATTAAATATTTGATTTATTGCAGAAGTGAAATATATTGATATAAATGCACTGGTGGAACATAATTTTAACATAAATAGGAGTGTGTTTTTTTACCAGTAAGCTACTTTTATGGATTTTTATAAGATTTCCATCCTTCCAAAAAAGCTTTAAGTCATTTTGTATTGTGAAAACAAAATGCAAAAATAACAAAGCAATACGATAAATTTTATGTTATGTGTTTTTTTATTACTGTAACATATACACAGATAGCAGTTGTGGAGACTTGTTTGCTATAGACAATCACACCGGTGTCATTTATGCTGCAACGAATGTAGATATAAATACAGAAAAAGTCAGCCAACAGTTTGGACACTGTGTTTTGACCATAGAAGTACGTATATTATAAAACAAAAAATATTTTCTTAGGCATGCACATTTAAAATCAAATAAAAAAAACATGGGTCATGTCAGGTTTGAAAACATCGAATTTAAGATTTTCGTTTGAAACATTGTTTCACGTTTTGTAAATCATCTTAACATGTTTATGTTATAGCCAATTCTCATCGCTTGCTATACATATTATAATAATGTTGATTTTATTAGGCAAGTGAAATAGAAATGCCGTACCAAAAACAGTACGGTAACACGAATACACCGACAAATGTTACGTTAATACTGTGGGATGATACAAACAACACACTTCCGAGTGTAGGTCCAGCTTGCAATCACACTTGGGCTCAATATACAACTACAAACACATCACCACCTACCAAAATACCGCTTTCTTGCAAAGGTACTTGTCGCTGAAATAATTGCAATTCGACTTATATCTTGCACAGAAATAAAGTCAAAATTTTTAATTATAGTGATAAAGACACGATCACGAATTTTATCATGAATGAATATAATCAGAATAGTAACAACCATCCTGCTTACTTTATGATGGTAGTATTATCATCATTATAATAAGTCACCAAATTTCAGTCCATTTTAAGGACATCTATAAACTATTCGTTTTCAAAAAATACTTTCTAGTGTTATCGCTTATTTTTGTATTTATTTCTTAGTGCATAAGTGATTGCGTCTTTTAAAAAAATCAATTCCAATCTGATTTTTTTTAAATTTAAATGTTAGATAAAGCATTGACTCTTACAGAGGACTGGGACTTTGATAATCCTTGCAATAAAAGCAATGTGCTGAAGGGAGTAACGAAGTTTCCTCACCCTGACTCTATCTATAAGTTTTTGATATGTGATGTCTCGGGAAAAACATTTTCGGCACAATGTCCAAAGAATGAGGTAATTATTTCCAATATTAGAAGAACTGTTTTATCTTTTATAAATAAAAAAGTGTTCAGAAGTATGGGAACATTACTAACAAATTTTATGGCTATCATTTGTTTTGGTATTTCTTTGGTACGATCTATTTAAAATCATAATTTATTTCAGATTTAATGTCTTCAACAAATATTTTGTTTATTTTTATTCAGGTTTTTCATGCTGATTGCTCTTTGTGTGCATTACCAAACCAAACCTTTTCAAAGTTATGTACGATATCAAACAAGATGTTTAGGAATCCTTGTTCAAAAGAAAATATCATAGCTGGTAAGAGAGAGACGAATTATAAGATAAAACCAATATAAAACAATAAAATTTCTTCTGATATAATTTATTGAAATTTACAGTGATTAGGTTATTATTGTTCGTTTATCTAATTAAACATAATTAAGCAAATATCTAGTTTCTTTATCGATATCATTCGTATCCTATTAACGTGAACAATTGAAATATAAAAGCATATTTACTTTACAGGTAATCTGACTTTTCCCCACCCAGACAGCACAAATAAATATATACGTTGTGATAGTCGAGGAAATGCATGGGAAGAAGAATGTTTCTCCGGCTCCTTCTGGGATCAAACACAGATGATTTGTGTGTTACCTGAAGCTTTCAATCCTTGTCACAACGTGGCAGCATTGTCCAGACACTTTATCCTCACTACTGTAATCCTCGCTTATACGTCCAGTGTGATAACAACGGTCATCCTTTAGTTCACATGTGTCAGAAGGATTACGTGTTTCTACATTATGATTTACTTGTTCTCCACCTGCGTTTCCAGGTACAAAATATCTAAGGTACACATGTAACTAGGCTTGAAAGAAGTCGCATATTAAAAAAACATTTTCACCACAGAAATTCTTTTGTTTTATTCAGATTGATGATTTTTACTATATATTATACGATGTAAATATGCATATATATATAAGCATTCCAAAACATGATGTGTTTGTTTATTTTTAGCTCGCCTATACAAAGTATATGGAGAGCTGTCCTACACGCCCGGCGTCGGCGTCCGCGTCCAAATTTCAGATTAAAGTTTTGGTGCAGTAAAATATTTTTCACTATAACTTTGTCATTTCTTAAGGTATCAACTTCAAACTTTAAATATATGTTCCTTATCCTCAACTACATCTTTCTGACAAGGTTCATAACTCTAGCACCATTTTTCTTTTCAGATTTATCTTCCCTTGAACTTAGAATTTTCCTTAAAAATACTTTTTTTACTGTAACCTCTTTACTACTTAAGAGATCAACCCCATACTTCAAATATAGGTACCTTATCACCATCCACATCTTATGTGACAAGGTTCATAACTCTTAGCAACAATATTTTCAGTTTTATCTCACCTTAAACTTAGAATTTTCCTTAAAAAATACTATTTTTACTGTAACTTCTTTTATTTCTTAAGTGATCAACATATGTACCTTATCATCATCCCAATCTTGAAGCAATATTTACAGATTATCTCTCTTTGAACATAAGATTTTCTAAGAAATATTATAACTTCTTTATTTTTTCAAACTTCCAATTTATATTTCTTATCATTATACACGTTGTGTGACAAGCTTCATAACTTTAGCGTGACTTTTCTTTCATAGTTTTGTCCTCCTTACTGCGTCCAGTATTTTATTAGTCGAGCTTCGTGAATATGTCTGGGCCCTTTGAATTTTATATATTAACGCCGAAATGTCCTTATTTGTAAATATAGTCATATATCATGCAGTTAAAATTTAGCTATTTGATTTGAAAAAGGGTTGAAATTATGTGTTGGAAAATGCCTTTACTAATGATGAACATACGTATTATCAAGTCAATTTTGTCTGCTTCTGTCATTAACTACAAATAGACAAGTGTGAATTTTCATTTTTTTAATAATCAACAGTTCATCCTTCTAAATTTGGATGGCCAAATTCATATTCATGATTTTTAATCTTAAGAATAAATTGAAATAACACGACCAGAAAGACTTGTAGCATTTTTTATTTTATTTCAAGATGTCTTAAAGATTTAACACAGATAAACTTGTTCCATAACAAAAATCGATACAGAAACTAATGGCTATTTAAAGATGTAACCAATTAAGACTGATACTATCATTGGTGATTGCCTTACGACTTTATGCTGAACTTTATTTTATTTTATAAGATTCTATTATGGATTAGGAATAAGAAAAGCATTACTGAAGAGCTAATTATTTGTAAATCAACCAAGGTGCATCTTTTATTTCAATTTCAACTTCATATTAACTTTTTATCATATCTCTGCTTTATTTCGAGTTTGACAATGTGAGAGCGTGTCACAACATTGTGATATTGCTAAGAAGTATTTCAATGAGTTTTTCGCTGTTTATTTTATGATCATTGCAATTATAATAAAATATGTTTGCGCTTACCAACTCTAATTGAATTCCAAGATTTGAGAATCACGAAGTTTGTGATAAAGAGGTTTGTTTGTTTATCTTATCATCTCTGTTATGTTTCCTGCTTGACCTCTGCATTTCTTTTGTCATAAGAAAATGTTCATATTACTATTTGTACGTGTGTATTCGTGATTTGGATATATTTGAATAAAATAGGACTACTCATTTATCGACAATATCTAAAAGTATCAAGTATACACTTATAAAGTATCCAAATATAACTGGAATAGATCCTATTTTGTATAGCAATATTTTTAGTCATTCATTGTTTGTGTACAAGGAGAAAACAAAATCGAATGAATTACTGTTTTCACATATTCATTGTTTACTTGGCGCCAAATTGTATTATCGTAGTAACGAGTCCTCCTATACATCCTTTAAGTACTATCTTCTGTAACATTTAATCAACGGCCTTAAATTATCCGAAATGCATTGAAAAAGCATAATAAATATCTTAGGCTTTATCAGTAAAGCTAACTATTCTTTACATTTATTTCTTATTAATGGAAAATGTCTTACAAGAATCGTCATCTATCAAAACTGTAATAACAATGTATTAAAAAAATGAGTCAAAAACAGAAAAAGCCGGGTTGCCTTTGTATACCAAATATCATGAGGTTGTGTGTTTTCATTTTGTTCTACCATTTACCATAAATGCCGAAAATTTGTCGAAAATTTAATTACGTCGGTAAACAGAAAGTGGATGAGCGACAGATCTGAAATCGAATACCACAGTATGGGACCACGTGTTTATGCTGTATACTAACTATCAAGAGACTGTGATAAGTAGTTGCTGAGAAAAAAGTTACGAAAATTTCCTATCATTCAACATTAATGTCGAAAATAAAACTAAGTCGTTACGAAAATTTCCTATCATTCACCATTAATGTCGAAAATATAACTAAGTCGGTAAATAGAAAGTGGATGAGCGATAGACCTGAAATCGAATCCTACCGTAAGGGACCGCATGTTAATGTTGTATTTCAAATATCAAGAGACTGTGATAAGTAGTTGCTGAGAAAACTGTTACGATTTTTTCCCGCCGTTGACCGCACGCACGCCCGCCCTTCGCCCAACATTCACCATACTATAACCCGGGTTTGCACCTGCATAACCACGTTGAGAAACAACATATTTGTTCAAGATTATATTTTACTTATATCTGATTTTTGCTTTAATGATATCACTACATAACAATATTTTTACAGCATTATTCTAAGAAATGTCAGTCAGTAAAAGCCAACCCCCTATCCCCCCAAAAAACAACTAAAAACCCTAACTGACGCCAGCCGTATGATTTAAATTCATCTGTAAGTCATATCATAAATAACATTTTTTTAATTAATTTGATTCAAATATTATCAATTCGTAACTTAGATAGTACTAACATAACTTAAACATGTGAATTTCTTTGATAAGGAAATATATGGAAACGGCCAGTTTGTTCATAAAGAAACTTACACCTCTCCCGTTTAACTAACATGCATTCATCTTAATTTACTTGTCATGTAGTCATGCCACTATCACGCCATCTTCTCGTTCTGACACGTCTGCTTGATACATCGAGCAACTGTTGTATTTTTCCGGGAGACATTTGTCACATTAATACTTTCTTATAATATAACTATGAATATTGAACTTTGCAGTAACATCATATTAGATGTTTGCTTTAAGAATAAGAAGAAGAAGCTCAACCTAACCTTGAATAGAGAAACCCTGAAGTATTACAATGAATTAACAATGGACATTTTTGATGTAGAGTCAAACGGAGGTGTTTATCTCGTTCTATAAATGCAGCATTTTATTTACAAAATATGAACAGCTCCATGCCTTTACTTTCTACAAAAGCATAATCCTAATGTTCTGTCAAGAATTAACATCTAATTAGTAGTAAAAGCCTAATTAGGACTTTGTTACTCCTAACAAGGAGGTCAAAAAGCCTAATCAGGGAAAATAAAAGCTTACTTTTTTGGAGCTATAGTCTTTATTAAGTTCTTTTTTTAAATCCATATATGCATTTACCTTTTGTATTTATTCATACATATGATTTAATCACAGCAAGTTTCGCTGTTTATGTGGTATTTCGATTTATCAGCAAGAGCTGAATTGCATCTGTTGATATTTGTGGGATGTTTTGTCGATCAAACTTTCATTTTACTCAAGTCTTCCCGACTAATCATTTATACGTTAAAAGATTTTCATTACCGAACTCCAGCGAGACATGTAAACATTGATGTCTAACAAATTGATTGCGGTACTGTCTGGAGATTTTTGCATTGCAGCTATAGTTTGTGAATGCGTATGTATTGACGGCGTGTGATGTTCTCAAAAATTGATATTAAAGACTTACATTTCTATCTCATCATCTGGTTTCCTAGAGGTATAATTGTTTCATCAATATGAAATCAATGTAGATACAACAAAGATCAAACGTTTCATTTTTTAAGATTTAAGTAAGCACGAACTTCCATTTGCTTGCTTCGTAAACTATGAACATTTTGTTTTAAGGGGATTTGTACTGCAAAATGTTTTAATAATAATAAGCAAATAATCAAAGCTCATTAAGTGTTTTTAAAGATGATAAAATGATAAAAAGCAAATTATGCTTACAAAATGTATATGATAATAGAAAAATCTGTTTACTTGTCCAAATGCTACATGCTGACAGCTTTTTGTGTGCTTAATGTCAGTGTTTTACAAAACAATTTAGTAATACCTTTGTGTAAATTTCTTTTAAAGACCAACACTTGCAACTAAAGTTGAGCTTAACGAACAGTATATGATAAAATAATCAGAAACTAAATATATTAATAATTTATGTAATAATATATATTCATGATAACCATTATAATACTGGACGTTTGAAACGTCGCTTTTCATTATACACGGCTGCTGTGGATTTATAAAGAAATCTCGCTTTATTCCTCTAAAAATGATGCTTGGTGTATTATAAATTCGTTATAAATATTTAAGACAGGTCATATGGCCGTATATAAACGGTTGTTTGCAATATAGACCTCGCCTGGCGGCACGGGTTATATTTACAAACAACCGTTTATGTAGGGCCATATTACCAGTCAAAAATCTTTATAACTAATATTATAAAGGAGTCAGCAGCACTCAAACACTTTCATTACTTTGATTATTTTTAAACTAGAATTTAGTATCCTATATATAGAATATATAAAACAACTACGTCCTCCAATCTTTGATTATTTCGAGAAATTATATAAGCAGTGAGAATTACTAGAGGATTTGAAGAACATGTTTTGGTTCATTCCCTACATACACTATGGTTACACGCAACAATCATTGCACCCCAAGAACATGTTCGTGAAGAAAACACAAACCATAATGGATTTCTTTTCAATTAACACTGTTAATGTTCTTTGCATAATGTTGTCTGGGCATCTTGCATACTTATTGTCTGTAAGATACAAATCGAATGATGAATCTAAGTTGCAGGTTTACAAGAGCACCCCATAGGGATGGCGATATACACCCGAATGCA